CTTAAACGCATTTTTGAACCTGAACAACATTTTCGTGTCCAGATTTTTTCGTGTTCAACCTTTATACTCCATTTTTTGATGATTTATGTTTACACGGGACTCAACCGAATCCAAATTTGGTTTTCTTAAAAAAAAAACGCTAAAAATTATGTTTAAACTTTTTGTGAAATTTTACACAGAATTCTTTTTTTTACTATATTTTGTTTGTGCTAAAATTAAAAAAAAAACAAGTGTTTCCAAAATGTGAGCAAAACTTGATGTTCTATGATTTTTGTTAATGTGTAAGTGTCCAACACATCGCCAAAACTGGATTTACTTTACGGGTAATGATAAAGCTGAATCGTTGGCAAAGGTGGGCGCTATATATTTTTGAGCGACAAATTGCCTTCAACGAATGTTTCTCCATTGCTCGTCAGCAAGTCTTCATCAGTTGGCAACAAAAATGGAATGATGGTGATTTGGGAAGATGGTTACATTCTATTCTCCCACAGGTTTCGAACAAACCATGGTTCAAATCGTTGGACATGAGCCGTGACTTTATATGCGTTATGTCAAGGCTTATGTCCAATCACCGTTCGTTAGACTCGAACTTCTATCGAATTGGGCTCTCAGGCAGCAATTTATATGCGTGTGGTAGTGGTTATCATGATATCGAGCATGTTGTTTGGTCATGTAGCCTACATCGTGTTGCCAGATATGAGTTATCCACATCCCTCAGGGCCCGAGGAAAACAACCCGCGATACGCGATAGAGATGTCTTGGCTAGCCAAGATTTCGACTATTTGATTGAATTTTTAAAACAGATACATCTGGGAATTTAGTGGTTAGTGTCATCTTGTGTTATCCCAAGTTGTTAGCTGCCCATCGGTGTCCCCCATGTTTGTCTTTTTCATCAGTATGTCGCTTAGTTCGAGATCAAGAGCACATTGCTCTCCAAACCTTGTGTTCTCTATCCCTACCCTGCCATCCATTTGTTACAATTTGTTACCTCTAACCTCGAGATAGCCGCGAGTAATCGGCCCCCGCTTTACTAACGTTAGTTTTTAGTAATTTTATTATCCAAACAAAATTAGCTCCGCAAAGCTACAGCCAATGAGCCTGGAAAAATAAACACATTATAAAAAAAGAAAGAAGTATTTCCTCGAAAAGCTCGGAAAAGTCAACTGCCTTTGAGTAAATCGCCTTTTGTCGAAATTGAGTCGACTCGACCCCTTTTTGAAGATTTATGCAAGGTTCAGATCAAATCTCGATTACTTTTTCCAAGGGACGTATCAGCTTTTGTAAACAATGCATTTGATCGTCGGATTGGCGTAACTGGCAGCTCACCCACACATACTAACACCACTATTAGGCAGGGAAAAAATTCCCCTATCTGATGGTAGTGTTAGCATGGGTGGGCGAGCTACCAGTTACTGTTCGCGCACGAAGCGAACGTTGGTTAACCCGTAGAACACCTTTCACACATGACAAACCCACCCTTGCTAACCCCGAGACGACCGTGCGTAATCAATCTAGCAATGGGCGATCTTGAATCTAAACACAAAAGATCGATTCTTTTGGTTCGATTAATCAATTTTTTGAATCGATCCCAAACACGACAAAAATCGACTGGATCGATCCTTTTCATTCGATTTTTGTTTGGATAAAAAAAAAAGTTCAGTGCATTCACATTTGCTATTTAATATTATTTGTTTGTCTTCACCTTTGTACATCACTTACCTTGAACATGGATTCTGCCAAACAACCCGTGTGACAGTTCAGTAAGCCAGAACGAGAAAGTGAAAGTTTGGGGCTCCAGAGATGATTATAGACCTTTTTGACCTTCTGTAGTGAATATCCCCATGTGTACTCCATTGCTCGAGACTATTTATCAAGAATGATAACAAGTGTTCCGTCAGAGAGGCTATTCTCTAAAACTGGTGACACACACAGAATCGATATCGGCTTAATGCAAAACGCATGGCTCAATTAGCTTTCTTGGGGTCCTTTTCGGATGAGTGTTGGGATATCTGAATTAAGTACTTTTCGTACTTACCTGCTTTCACACTCCGACCATCTAATCGTTTTGTTTCATATGTTAATCTTTCGTTTTAAAATCGTTCATTTAATACCAATAAACCGAATACTATAACCTGTTCAATCACTCACCTTATCAAGTATCCTGAGCAAAAACTTCCACATGTCAAATGAAATCAAAATGGTCATTTACTATGTTCTCATCATGTATGTATGTTACACTCACAACTTTTGCTGCGTACGTACTACACAATTTATTTCTAAATTATATCAATCATCACACTAGATGAATATTATAAGTTAAATGTCGTAAAAATATAGCATATGTAACGTAATATCAACTTGAAACTGAACTTGGCGTTAATTTTCACAGACTTTCCTATGATCCGTTATATTTGAAACATTTCTGTGCCGTTTTGAAAAATGTATCGATTCAAAAGATCGATTCAAAAAGATCGATTCATAATCAAGCTGAACATTGCATTAGGTCATAAGTAACATTGACAGATTCTCTTCGTCGACTTTCTCTTGGTATCCGCACGGTGATGTAAAGGCCAGGTATTTTCAGCACACAGATCGATAAAAGAATCTTTTATCTAGTATCTAATACAACAGACACAACAAGAAACAGTTTTGTGCTCAAGTTATTATCAAAAGAGAAAGTCGACAAAGAGAATCAATCAATGTTACTTAGGACCTTATGCAATGTTCTGCTTGAAATGATTGATTAAATCGGCGAATCGATTATTTTCAAAAAAAAATGAATCGATTCACTAAGATCGATTCTTGGCTCAAGATCGCCCAATGTTAAATCGGTCCCTCACCTACTAACGCCCTTGTCCATACAACACGCACTGCTCACCCTAGACACAACTTTGATTTCCGCTTGAATGGTATTTCACGAATAATGGACATGTCCCAACACACCGCCAAGGACAGAATGCAAGGATACCTGTCAGCTGAGACGCTTATTGGATCTTTTCCAGGAGATCATCACTGCAGCGAGTATAAGAGAAAATGAGTTTGCGCGCAGCGCGTCTTTGTTGTTTTGAATACCGAACCGGAAACATTTAACCATCGTATTAGATTGAATTGTCACCTGCACAGCCAAAACAAATTAGCCTTTTTCAAGGCTATGTCTAGTTAATCTAAGTCGAGCTAGTTATTACGATGTGTTTCCGAGGAGTCCCTTTTACATACAGTCCACCAGTTCCAACCGAGGCTCATTCCAGGCAATCCTTCAGATGAAGGAGTTGGCCGTTGTCGAGGAAATATTCCGACAGCCCGTCGGGTTCCTGCAAGTGCTCAAGACCGGACAGTTACGTCAAATCGACATTTCATTGTTTACAAAAGCTTATGCGCTCTTTCACATTATTTACAAAAGCTTATACGTCCCTTCGAAAAAATAATCGAGAAATGTGAATGATTGGCCACAACAAATATTTATGAAAAGTTTCATTTAAATCGGAAAAGTATGAAATTCATTTTTTTGCTATTTGGCCTGGAAATGTTCTACACAGCCCAAGTAACAATTAAGCGCAAAAAGCGCAATATAATCACCGACAAACCGACATGAAACTTAAACTTAACTCTTGATCGAGAATCCATAACGGCCGATTTAAATGTGCAGCGATCCCATCTGTCCAAACCATAGAAATGTTTTATCTAGATAAAAATAATTTGTCCGAAATAGATTAGACACGAACCTACTTATAAATTGTTCGTGTACGCGTGTTGTACGCGTGTTCGTGGCTAGGATAAATATTTTCCGCGAACACGGCAGAAGATGTCAGTTTTGTGCTTTGATCAGAAATTTCTTTGTAATTTGTATGATCATTCATGTCGGTTTATCGGTGATATAATGCTGATATAAGGCTAATATAAACCTTTAATGCCGTATACCACCCTTATATTGCAAAAAAAATGCCCTCATCGGACTAATACCGGGCTTGGTAGCAGAGCAAATAAATCGCACAGTTTCAATATTTTCCACATGCTAAAAAACCGGAATATTGTTTATTTATCAACATCTTGTTCCAATTATTCTACCCACCTATCTCGCTGTGTACCTCTGCGTCTTACACCAGCCGGATTCGAGACAAACACCATTTTTGAGGGATTGTTGTCCATTCTTATAATGGAATACCTGAAGGATACCTGAATAAAGAAAAAATAAAATGAAGTCCTTATCCAGATAGGGGAAATGGATGCAATGTCGGCCTAAATGCCCCTAATTTGGGCCCATACATAAATTCAGCAATCGACTAAATTTTCAATAGCGACCAAAACTTTCCATTAGTACCGTCCCAATGACGCGTTCATCTAGATAAAATTGATAAATAGCAGATTTTTAGCGATGGGCCCAATATTAGATCCTTAGGCCAACATTAGTGCCATTTCCCCTATATACTATTTACTTACCAGCTACTTATTTTTTGATGTGATATACTTGCCAAAAAGGACAAAATTATCATCAATACAATGCATGAACTGACATTACGCTGCTTTTACTGCATTTGTTTATTTTTGTGGCCATAAAAATTAAATCCGTTTTTCGACATGATTGAAGTGCATCCTCTTGGATGTAATATTAAATTTTATTTTTCGCTGTGTAGAGACCCTGTGGAAATTATTTTCCAGACCAGATTCTTTTCTCAACGTTCGTCCGTTGTAATTTTTACCGAATTTTCGTTCCGAAAAAAAAAATACTTTTACGATTTACTTACCTGCATCGCCGTTTGAGCTCGTCTCCATTACAAGCAACCAACTCGTTGAAATCCAACCTCTCCGGTCAGCACTGCAGCGATAACCATCGCTATGTGCACGATAGAAAACTTCCCTCTGCTACAAGAACACTCTGTGTATGAACCTTCGGCAGGAGGGCTCTACTGCCAATCGTGATCGACTCTTCCTACTACCACATTTCTCCTAAATATTATCAAGCAACACGAATCTAACCATCTCTCTTTTCTCTCCATTTCCAGTAAACCGACCCAAGGGGCAGCACTCAGCGCCCCGTGGTGGCCCACCCCGGTCATGGACGAACGCCGAGCTGACGGAAGCCCTGCAGCACGTGTGGAACAAGAAGATGACCACCAGCCAAGCGTCGCGGATATTCGGCATCCCGTACAACTCGCTCCTCATGTACGTCCGGGGCAAGTACGGCAAAAGCCTCAAGCTGGAACAGCTCCGCAAGGACTGCATCAGTGGGCCGCCGATCGAACTGCTCCAGATGGGCATGAACAACAACAACAAGGACAAGAAGGACGGCCAGGACAAGGACATGCCTCATCACCATCCGGGTGGCAATCCCAATGGGAGTGGTAACGGTGGTGGTGCTGGTGGTGGTTCGGATCAACGAGGAGGTCCCCGGTCGGCTTCCTCGGAACCAGAGCTCCTCTCGAGTCCAAACACGCTTTTTAATCCCTTTCCTCCTGGATTCTATCCGGACTTTCCCGGTGGTTTCCCAGGGCTTCCGCTGAGTATGCTTAATCTCCTCCCTCCGGACCGGCATCATCCGGGTGCGCACCAGTTGGCGATGAGCATCGACGAGGACTGCAAAAGCGACCGATCGAAGCAATCGATGGACGATGACTTCCCGCAACCGTTGGCGCTAAATCGATCCGGGCTGAGTGGAGGCGGCGGGGGAGGAAGCGGAGTGACGGATCGAGGCGATGGACCCCAGTCGGACAGTCGACGGGAAATCTACCAGCAAAATGGACAGGATTAATATTTGTACTTTCTTGACCGACTCAAGGCAATGCCGCGGTATCCCAAGTGGGTGGGTTGAGAAAGAGTGAGAAAAGGCGCGTGCGGGGGCTGGGGGTGGACAAGCAACATTCGGCTGTGTGATAAATCGAAGGAACGACGGCAAAGTAAGCGGCGGCGGTGGATGAACCTACTATATCGACTTGGTTGGTGTCTGGGATCGCAGTAAGCTGCCGCCGACCGTTGCTGTTGGCATATGATGATGGTGTAGAAGTCGATAGAAGGTTACTTGCGGCGGCTGACGAGAATCGAGCCGCCGTCGGAAGCTTTTCAGCGCAAAAGCTGACACTACTGAACAGAGCAAAACAACAAACGAAAACGTGATAGTGGTTAGTTTTTATGTTTATTCGAATGATTCCTAATGATTTTATTTCTTTGTTTTATTGTAATGGTATATTAGTTGAACTATTATTTAGATGCAATGTTATAGTAGAACAAATGCAATATTTTATTTTTCCTAAGCGAGAATATGTAAAGTATTTTATTTTATTAATTAGCAGACAGATGCATACACGCAAGGAGAATCTTTTGGGGCAATATTTATACTCGAAAACATGTGCGAATAGAGCAAGTTAGAACTGCACACCAATTAGTTTTGTGTCTATTATAATTAGTTCAGCGAGATGGTGCTTTATGGAATATAGAGTTTTTAGTTCTTACTTACGAAAGCCAAACACACCGACAGACAGCAAGATATTGACGGTTCTCCATCGTCAGGGTGGAAGAACTATCCGATATAAAGAAAAACGCAAAACAATAGAACTACTAAACATAAGAGATGAACAAACGTGCTTCCTGAGTATATAAGTTAAAGTATAAGTTTTAAAATCCAATTTACAGTGAAACTATAAGCAGAGAAACGAAAGCAACCGATCTAATTGAGTATGTAAAGAAGAAATAGGTGGTACAGAACAAACACACACAAACACAAACAAAAGAAAGGATACTTAACTACTACATAACAATAGCTAATTTATTTATGAATCATAACTAAGTGAAGAGCTGATGTCAGCGTAGGATCCGTGTATTTTCGTTTTATTCCCTACCATTTAGTTTCCGAGTAGCATAATTCTTATATTTTTTTGTTGAACATTCGATACAAATCCCTCCTTCGTTCTAAGTGAAATAGTTATTTTCTAGTATTATTTTGAGGTTCTATGAGTTTTGTATATTTCTATTATTTACATTTCCGCACCACCAGCCTACTTCCAAGAAGAAGCAAACGGGAACCAACAAACGATACAGTATTAATCAAATAAATACAGCAATTTTTTACACAACTTTCTGTTTTTGTTTCGTTTTATTTTCTTCGTTTTCATCACCCCCTACCACTGACAGCCATAAATAATCAATAAAAGACTGATAATCCCTTTTTTTCGTTTTCCTTTTATTTTATTTTTTTCGAGAAAATCCTTGTTTTCAATTTTTTGTTCCGTTTTTCTTTTTAAAAACAGTAATCAAAATAGCCAAGTGTAAGTTGAAAGGCCAACCCAGAAGCAACCAACATTCGATCGAGTATCAGTGTTATTTAGAATTAAAGTCATTATTAGGCAGGAAGAACGACAACAACAACAACAGCAACAGCAACACAACTACAGCAAAAACTATTAACCTATAAGCAGAGGATAGGACCGCAATCGCTACTTTAGTCTAGCAAGCAAAACAAAAACGCAGTTACAAAATGGAAACTGAAATGGAACTAATTTTAACTCGCATTACATAGGTTATTAAGAGGCGAAGGCAGACGATTGTCACTTCGTAGGTGAATGTCTTGAGCAGGTTTTAGTTTACTTTACTCTGTTTTGGTTTAGTGCGTTTTCAGTTACAGTTACAGATAATAGGCAGTTAAATCTGTTCGATTACCTCAAATTATTATACTATTGAAAGAAGCAAAAACCGGCAAACAAACGCGGAAAGGGAAATAGCTATACAACTGATGATGATGATTATTATTATTGAAAATGATTGATGCAAACAGCGCCGATAAGTTGTAATGAACATACTTAACGATGCAACACAATAGACTATTTTTTACCAAGAAAACAATTGTTATTACAAATCAAACCGAACAGAACAAAGCAGACAAACAAACAATAGTTCCTCAATCAGATTAAACGGTTACATGTATACAGAACCTGCTTGCGCAGTTTACTGCAAATACTGCAGCTCCATAGCCAAAACCCAACAACAATAACAACAAATCAAACGATGCAAAACAATAGAATCAAACGGATCCCATGGGGATCCAGGACCGATGCAATGCAATAGTTATTTTTTTTATTCTGAACAAGGATGCGCTCAAAATTTGATTAGGAAGTGAGATTTTTTGAGTTTCTTATCATCTTTTTTCCGTTTTTGTTCATGTTCACATGATGTTATGAGTCTCCGTGAAGCTGTAAGGTCCAACAATTGCAATGGGCACATTGTATAAGACATCGATGAACCTGTTGGGCTTCAAGCTGAACATTGCATTAGGTCCTAAGTAACATTGCCAAATTCTCTTCGTCGACTTTCTCTTTGTATCCCGATGGCCAATTACATGCCCAGGTATTTTCAGCACACAGATTGATAAAAGAAGCTTTTATCTAGCATCTAATATGACAAACACAACAAGAAATGGTTATGTGCTCAAGTTATTAACGAAAGAGAAAGTCTTTGCGTCGACTTCGTTCAATGTTGCTTAGGACCAAATGCAATGCTCAGATTGATTTTTAGTATCAGATATACTTAAACAGAACTACGTGTCCCGCAGAATGCTAAGGGTTTCATGAAGCCTTAAGGGCTCTATCGGGACATCATAAAACACTTTGTTGATCCTTTAGATGCTCAAGATCTAGACTCCGGTATGACATAGACAACTTTTGAAGCCATGTTCCTCCTGTTATCTCTCCTCTTGTACTATTATCGATTGACTCAGATTCTATGTTGAATGATCAACGTGCTCATGAAAGTTCAATTCAAGAACCACATGTGAAAAGGGCATACAAGTGCCCTTTTCTCGCCAGCCGAGGGTCGCCCACGCAAAGCAAAAACCAACAACATTATCGGGAAGCGGAAAGCTTCCCCTACCCGGTGATGTTGATGGTTTGCGTTGGTGACGAGAAAAGGGCATAAAAAGGTTTGTTTACAAAAAGCTTGTATGCCCTTTTCACATGTTGTTCTTGAATATCATATTAATTTTAATAAATGACCTGTTGCGCAGCACTTTTGCTGAAACAAGTATTGGTGATTACGAAGCAAACCAAAGTTAAATTTGGCTGGACATGGTGTGAAAATTGTAATTACACTTTGCTATCTGTCATATCGCAGTGACTATTTTTTAGTACATCATCAATTTTGTAATTGCAGATCTGAAAACTTGGTGTCGCATGACCACTTTTAGCTTTGCTTAAATTCATCAATTCAGGACTACGAAGGTCCAGGAATTTTTTGGGATGGAAATTTTCTCGACTTCCCAGAGCACAGAGTATGATTGAACCGAGGGGGAAGACAGTGAGAAATTGAGAGCAATCCAGACTCCGAGGAACTCTTTTGCTCTCTGATGAACGATTTTATTATATCGATTGTTTTGACAGCGCAGCCCAAGCAATCAATGTTTTTGGTGTAAAGGAACGTAAGTTTTTTTTTCTTTCAGCCGGTGATCTATGCCTTAAAATACACTCAATTCATCGGAGAACCTGCTAGCAAAACAAACATCACGCAATAACGTTGCTGTTTTGATACAAAATTAATGGGCCTAGGGGCGCGTCTGTGGGGGTTTGTGGGAATAGTTTGAACGTTTGTAGTTTCCTGTTCTAGCAACCGAGACCCTCACAGGATTCATTCTCAAGTACATGTTCCCACCGGAGCTGGTAGCTGGAAGGGAATACCCTGTACTGGATGTCCAGTAGTACGGTAGCAACATCCTGGTCAATTTCATTATCAGTGCAAAGAGAAAAGTGCCCTGCAGAAAGCCATCGTCAGAGTGATTTAAGAAAATAGCCAAAACTTCAATGAACTGATAGAAAACTAGATCATTTCCTTATTTAAATATCCATCCATTTATTTTCTTCATTAATTGTTTTCGTTTCGTTATCGAACTGACATTTGCATAGTCAGATTCCAAAACTATATGCCCCACTAATTCTGTATCGTCACAAATTATATCAGAGCCCAGAGTAAACCAGAGTAGCTCTGAGCAACTCTGGGTAAAAGAGCTACTCAAATGAAAGCCGTCTTCCCCCTCGGATTGTACTTGCCACACAATTATACTAGAGTCGGTGTATAATGAGTCACGCCAAGAGTGAAGCCAAGTCTACCTATTGAACAGTCAAACCGGCTACCAATCGTGCAAAGTAAACAAGCATTACGATGCTGTGAAAGGTCCACGAAAGGTATTGCAATTAAATATAAAATATAATCGAAGAAATGATCATATACACGCAGTGAGCATTACATTTGTCATGCGATACGTTTTGTAATGATCAGTAATGACAATTTCTACTATTTTTCTTTAAGATAATTCGACAAAATCACTGATATAATGATTTACTACAGCCGTTAATTTTTTTCCTCGCTAGAAGTCATTTGAAGTTGATGCAGAAGGCCTCTGTTACCAAGTTAAACGAAAGGGAATCATTCGAAAACCGTGATGCGAGTTCAACTGTTTTTCTCTTGGCGTGACTCATTATACACCGACTCTAAGTTATACCAATGCAAAAATGGTACAGGTATCGAAAACCAAGGGGGGGGGGAGGTGGCTGTCAAATACGAACAATCTTCGCCTACCTCGCATAACTGGTTCCAAATGTAAACAAGCCATAAGAAACCTACAGGGTTTGTTTACGTTTGGAACCAGTTTCATACAAGAATGATCAGTAGGCTGATTTGACAGCACGCCCCCCCCCCCCCAGTCGAAAACTCTCACCTCGTCACTTAAATTCATCAGTTAAATTATCTCTAAACGGCGATGTTTGACAGCTGGTTCCGAGTAGAAGTTATATAAAGTCTGGTCCACTTAGAATCCGAATACATAAAACCAGGCGTTTCTC